CCCGGCCCCGAGCTCGCGCCCGCGCCGGCCACCCCGGCCTCCCTGAGCTTCGCGCTGCCCCCAGGCCCGAGCCCTTCCCGCCTGCGCGGCCGCTGCCGCCGCGGTGCCAGCCCTGCTCCCAGCGCTCCGGCCCGGTTGTTCGACTGCTGGAGGTGACTGCGCAGTGAGGGAGAATTACAGGCCTGGCACTCGTGTTTCAATATTACTAATAACACGGTGTCATCTGCCAATAACACAGTGTCGTATGCAGCATAACAGTCGAGCGTCCGTCCGTCCGTCTGTAGCTCCAGTCTGCTCACAGCTTTGCAAACTGAGTAACGGGGCGGTGAGACCATGCCGGCCTGCAGCCCTAAGGTGCTGCTTCAAACTGGTCACCGCTCAAAGCTCTGAGTGCTGTTGTCTGCTCGGTGCTTCGTCTGCAGGAGTGAAAAGCCTCAGTGTCATCCCCTGCGCTTGCAGATCGTGTCGGTGTGCGCGGGGGCTCCTGGAGGACCCACTGATCAAAGGCTTGTGGCTGCTTACGGCCTCAGACTCGCAAGCCCTCACGTAAGCAGTTTAGTATGAGAGCTGATCGTTGGCTAAGCAGCTTGTAATTTTGCTGGCTCTTGCAGTGGAAGATAGACAGACTTTTTCTTTTCTGCTGTATAGGTTCTGTGAGTACTGTGTTCGCTTTGAATATGTCATAATTTCAGTTTGAGCTTGAATTGTTTTTTTCAGTAAAATTTCAGGTGCCTGATTTAATGGCTTCTGAGATAATGTTTGGAGGTAGTCTCCCGTCTCTTTCCTTCCCTGTCATCCAAATAACACTACAAGAAAATAACCTGCTGCCTTTTAAAAAGGATAGAAGAAGGGTTTTGGTTAAGGCACTTGTACTGTTGTACGTGTGTTTCGTGAGATGGAAATAAAAGGAAACGTTTACATTTGATAAAGGAATCGGATCCCTTCATTGCAGAGCACAAGGCCCCTGGCAGCCTATGGGACCTTTTCAGATGCGGGAAGGGGAGCTAGCAAGTGGAAAACAACTAGCTGTGTGTTTTATGGGGGAACAAAAAACGCCTGTAGAGGTGTATGGGTCTGGAGGCTAACCAGAGTGTCTTCATACGCAGAAGAGGGTTTGGTTTTAAGATGGTTTCCCCTTTGTCCCTTTTCTGTCAAGAAAGCGGGGTGGAGCTGTGCAAGCTCACGACTTTCCCGGGGCATGACTAGTGTTTCGTTTTTCATATCGTCTAAACCAATAAAGTAAGAGACAGGGAATCCTTCCCTGTAATTAATTACATGAGGTTTGATTCTTCCATCTTGACAGAGCCGGTTACTAGATCCAGATCTTAGTGGCTTTTTCCAGATCTTAGTGGCTTTTCATCTTGAAAGGGAGTTTTATTTTATTTCTTTCCTCATTTTCCCCAGTCCCTGTTCAGAAGGACTGGTAGCTCTACTCGCAAAGGGGGTTTTATGGATTTATACTTAGTGGTTCTTTCTGTGGTGGAATTTCTCATTTTTAGAGAAAAAGGACAGACATTATGAAATGTGCAAACTTCCACGTGGGTTGGGAACGGGTTAATAACTGGTACCTAATCCTCTCCTGTGACAGCCCTTTAAAGAAAAGCCAGAAAGGGAGATCTTGGGAAGGCTCTGGTTGCTTGAGAGAGAGAGTTCACCTTCACTGAGGAGAAGGGAAACTCTTACCCGTAAGTGGGAAGGCCTGGCCGGAGTTGAGGTGGGATGGAGGGATTTGCATTATTGGTGCATGTTTGATGCCAGCAATTGGAGAAGACTGCTGTCTGAGCCTAGAGGTGGGATAATTCATTTTTGTATTATTCGAAGAAATAATTTAGAATACAGCATTTGAAGATGAAATGTCATAATTCTATTGAAATACGCGGTATATATTTTTACTCCATGAGACAATCCAAACTTTGTTTCTTCCCACAGTTTCTTGCGCTTCCCTGTCAGAACTAAAGGACAACTAGGTGTGTCCCAGCGTGGACATCACTGTGGGCACGTTATGTTGGATGAAGAAAACAAAGCCAGAGTTACAAAGTGCCACGCTCGCTAAGGAAGAGGATATTTTGGAGACTTCTAGCATGTTCTGAGTATGGTCTTTTTTCAGGGCTTCTTTACGTGCCATGTGTTTCCCAGAGGTATATGATATATGAAATATTCTTCTACCTTCTGCTAGCTGAAGGGAGAAGCAGTTGCTTTCCCTTCCTTAGCACCGCCCGTCTCTGTAGTGCTTTGGCATGGGTGATGGGTGCCAGCTATTGTATCTGTTTACTGACCACGGTACGTAAATGCTGCCACTAAGCTTTCCAAATCTGTATCAGAATTAAAATAAGTTTTCTGCGCATAAATTTGCAAGTAGCTGCTCTAATCTTGTCTAAATCTATTCCCTTTTCCTCCTCTGCTGCTCAGGAAACCGTATGCAGCGCAGAAAGGGACTGGGTGTTTAAAAGCTATGTTTTAAGTTCATGTCAGTTCACATGTCAACACACAAAGTCAATAAACACTTATGTATCTGAGTAGCTTTAATAATAAGTGCTTGAAGGATCAGAGCTGTGATAGATTATTTCTGAAACCGTAAGGTTTATGAATTATTACCTATATGTAGCTTGTGTTCTCCAGAAACAAATCATCCAGATGCCCCTCTTGGCAAATGGTGTCTTAAGTCTTTAAGTCTTGCCAAATGCGGAAAGTGGATTTTGTTCAGGTTCTGCACATAAATATTAATCTTGTGCTTGTTACACAACAAGTAGGCTCATGGTTTTTAAGTCTTGGTCCTTCAGGCTACTACAGGGAGAGCTTTATGGCTACATTGGTGGCCATATAGACACAGGGCACGTTGCTGAAATACTAGTTACTACTGCTGATCTATAGGAAGCAGGAATCGTGTATCATGAATAATATCAAAATCAAACAAAAACAAAAAAGGCAGAAAACCTCATGGAACCAGAACTATTTTTTTTCCCCACAAATAAAGTTGGAAGTGACTTCTTTTGCTATCAGAGTTTCCATTTATTTAGAAATCAAAGTTCTATTCTGTTTGCCTGATTAGTTCATTTTATAGCACCTCATTGCTCTGGATCTTCTGTCCGTCAGCCTTGTGGTGGTGTACGGAAGGTCATTCACAGGGGAAGATTAATCAGCTCTAATGGGCTCAAATGAAATAGATGCACTACAGGTTTTATCCCTTCTGCAGAATGGCTGTTTTTGAAATCAGGAGGAAGGCAAAATTATCGAGTGTTTAAGAAATACACTCTCAGTTGGAGTACAAAACCTTTTATTTTACCTACTGTGTTTCTAAACTACTCCCTTTCTATTTTCCAGAGAAACCCTGAAGCTTTTGTAGTTGCTTCTGTCAGGAGTTTTATCCTACTGCTATCTTCAGGTTTTCCACTCGGGGGTTAAAATACCTCATGACAGAAGATTATTTTTCTTTTGAAAGCTTTATCTTACTGGGCTATCCAAAGCAGCCGGTCTGTAGTACCTACGTAAACTTTTCCATTAAAGCAGATCACTTCTGCAGACATCTGGCAGTGCTCTCTCTTAACTGTATCTTCCCCACACTGGACAGAAGGTGAAACAGATGATAGCTGTGCTTTCGGAAGGCTTGTGATGTACCTTTTAAATGCCTATAAAAGACTGATAAACATCTGTTTAAGTGAAAACACTACCCTCTAAATACATAGCGGACAAGAAATAATTCAGGTATAACCCTTTTTACTGTTCTCTTTTGATACGATTATTTAATAAAAGTGTTGCTGAGAGGCTGGCATATGTGGAACGGAGGACATGATGCGTCTGCCACGGTGTAAGTTTTTTGGTTGTGGGTGGTTTTTTTTCTTTTTCTTGAAACACACAAGTTTATCTGGATTTCACTTAGGAAGAAACCTGCTCTCTGATGGAGTGCTAGGCAGTGACGGGTGCTG